TCCGTAGTGATACTGCCTCGGAAACCCAAGGAGGGGTCGCTATGAGTCGGGGCCGACTTGACGGCACATAACAACAACAACAACAACAACAAAGACAAGGTGTGTGGGGGGGAGCCTTGGTAGCACAGTAGTCGAGCCCTGAGCTGCTAACCGAAAGCTTGATTGTTCTAACTCACTAGCAACTCCACAGAAGAAAGATGTGGCAATCTACTTTTGTAGATTTATAGCCTCGGAAACCCTATGGGCAGTTCTATTCCTATAAAGGCTGTGTAAGTTGGAATCGACTCAACAGCAGTGGGCTTAGGTTATTTTGAACAAAGACAAGTCTATGGGTGACGCAAAAGGTTAACATGCTTGACTGCTAACAAGGGCTGGTGATTCGAGTCCACCCAGAGTCACCTCAGAAGTAAGAGGCCTGCTGATCTACTTGCAAAACATCAGCCACTGAAAACCCCATGGAGCACAGTGCTGCTCTGGCACACATTGGATCACCATGAGTCGGAGTTGACTTGACAACTTTTTTTTCTTTTTTTAACTTGGACAAGAGCTTTCTGAGGGCTCTCTCCAAATTCCATTATTTTATGAGTCTCTCCACACTGACTGATGGGAATAAGAAGTATCCCCTGTGTGAACCACAAGAATTGTATAGTGAACATAGATCTTGACCTGTTGCTGGCTGTGTGTGTGTGGCAGGACTGCAATTCCTGTAGCGATGAGTCCTCATGAGCAGAAGCAGAAATCTCACCCCAGTTTTGCTCACACTACCACTGTCTTCGTTTAATGCTTTTCCTAAAGCAATCTTACATGCTTTGCTATTTTGATTAAAAGTATTTTGAATTGGAGTGTCACAGAAAGAACAATGGAGAAGGGATCAGAGGATCTTTGCTCCTTAATTAGTAGCATCACTTATAAGCACTCTAGGCCTTAGTTTCAACTTCTATAAAATGAGAGTAAGGATAACTGCCCCATTGTCCACCCCAATCTGTTGAGAGAAATAAACTAAATGGTGTAGGTGGTAACACCCAACCTTCTGATTAGGCCTGCTTACGGTCTACCATTGCTGTGATTGTCCCTCTGAGGGTTTGCTCCTCTCTCCAACCTGTTGGACCAGTCAAACCTCTCTAAAAATATCCCAGCACAGCCACTCAGGAATACTATTCTTTAATGATGCAAATGTTTGGTTTTTTAAAGCTGTTGTATCTCAAAAGTATAAATTACAGTATTATCTTTCTCCAAAATTTCTTGCACAACAGAATAACATGCTATTTATTCTTAGGGCTACCTGGAGCCCCAGGAAATCCAGGGGAAAAAGGAGAAAAGGGTGACTCTGGTGAACTGGGCTTGATGGGAAACCAGGGCCCACCGGGGCAGAAGGGCGAGAAGGGGGACAAAGGGGACGTGTCCAACGACGTGCTCCTGGCAGGTAAGAGGCTCATTCTCTGGCTGCCTTTGAGGCACATGCACCCCGAAACCTACCTGCTTTCAATCCAAGAGCTGCTGTGTGTCTTATCTCCTTGTTTGCCTTTCGTGACCTGTTTTGCAGCATGCTGTAGGACTCTGACTCTGTGCTTTCAAAAAGTATGAAACTGTGTATACTCCAGTATGGGCAAGGCCAAATCTGGGCTCCAAGCATAATTCATTTACATAATTCAGGTCTAAAAATCATGTTTGGGTTGGAATAGGATGAAGGAAGCTTCCTGTTTCCAAATATCCATTTAAATCCAGCACATTCTAGAACAGGACAAGTAAGTAACTTCAGGTACCTCGGAGGAAATGCAGAGAAGACATGCCTTTTCTTCATGGCAAAGGGAGAGCCATTCTCAGGCCCGTATCCTAAGCTTTTGACACAAAATTAGGGGCAAGATTTGGTTGCTGATTTTCTTTCTTCTGGACTTTCTTCTGGTTTAAAGCAAATATTTGGTGTCTGTGAGGGAAGGAACACTCTTGTGGCACAGTGGTTAAAGCATTCAGCTGCTACCCAAAAGGTCAGTCTCGAACCCACCAGCCACTCCATGGGAGAAAGATGTGGCAGTCTGCTTCTGTAAAGATTTACAGCCTTGGAAACTCTGTGGGGGCAGTTTTACTCTGTCCCATAGAGTCTTGATAAGTGGGCTTGGTGTGGTTTTAGGTGATTCCCTCACCTAAAAGGAGCCTTGGTGGGTGCAGTGGTTAAAGCGCTTGGCTATTAACCAAAAGGTTGATGGTTCAAACCCATCAATAGCTCTGTGGGAGAAAGATGTGGCAATCTGCTTCCGTAAGGATCACAGCTTTGGAAACCCTGGCTTATAGGGTCACAATGAGTTGGAACTGACTCCACGGCAGTAGGTTTGGTCTTTTGGTTTTATGGGGAAAGGGTTAAGGGGCAGCAAGTGCCACACAGAAATCACATGATGGAAAGTAGGGGAAGTGGCTGATTGTAATAAGGGAGGAGAGGAAGCAGAAAAATTTTTAAAGCACAGTACTTAGCAGATAGTTTATGTCATAAAAACAACTATCCTATTAATGTATTCAATAAGCATTATTGAATATAGAGCATAGCTTTTATGAATCAGCAACTGTGCTAGTAGCTGGAAATATGAAAATTAATAAGATATGATTACATGTCCTCAAGTAGTTTGAATGATAGATGTTCAAAATAATGACCCTAAATAACTCACCCATCCAATCATGCATCCATCCATTCAACATTTATTGAGCACCTACAATTTCCCAGGCACTGTTAAACCAAAGCATCAAGGAAGGATTAAATTTTGTTCAGCATGCTTTGTTTCCTAAAAAGGGGAAGTTGCTATGCAAATTCCCTAAAATTTAAAATATGTTCTGATGGGATAGTGTACATGAATAAACTTTGAAAATATAAGACCATGTTGTACTTCAGTTATATGGAAAATCTGCACATCCAGAATACCATATTCCCCTATTCTGCTGAACAAGTGAGGAGTGACAATAAACCATTCCAAAAAGCACCATCCCTGAGTGTACACCAATTCAAGAGACCAGAGCTGAGTGTGTTCACTGGGCAGAGAGGAGAGAAGGTGTGGGAGGGTTGGATAATGTCTGCTCTCTGGCCTACAGATGTCTGGCCCATATGTCCCCTACCTGCTGACTTTAGAGAGACTGGTCTGGCTGGAAAGAGGAAGCTAAAGAGACCTCAGATCACTAGTCTCAGTGCAGGACAGGAGGGTAGAACCAAAGGATTGAACAATTTAGCCAAGTAATATCTTAATGGAAGCTCCAGAACCAATGGCCCCTGCAAAGGCCAACACACACATTAGCCACCTGAAGCTAGAGGAATGGCTGCAGACAGATGTGTAGGATTACACACAACAACATGCACACAAGTGCTAAAGTACCATTACTTCTGGGAAGGCAGAAGCTTAGAGAGAGCCCTTTTCCCTCCTGTGAAACCCAATCTCCGTTGTTGTTGCTATGTGCCATCGAGCTGAACCTGACTCATAGCGATCCCTCTTTAGGTTTCTGAGGCAGTATCACTATGGAAGTAGATTGCCCCATCTTCCTTCCAAGGAGTGGCTGGTGGGTTTGAACCACCAGCCTTCTGGTTAGCAATCAA